TAAATACGCCTGCATGAGTTAAATCTAAATTTATATGGTATTTTTTTTTTAGAAAAAAAAAATGCTTGTTTTGTTAAAAAAACTTATTTTACTTAGTAGAGTAATTAAAAACAGATTAAAGGAAGTTATATTTACTTGCTTCGCAACAGTGGTTTCTTTTCATATTTCCAGCAGTGTGTCGCTTTCTAGTGAAGAACTTACTCTTCTCTAGGAAGTTTTTTTCTGTATTTTTCCGTGGGGTTACTGGAGTAAGTAAGAGTGAAAGTACGAACTGAACAGTTCACATTATATTTGGATCATCAAGAGCTTAAATTTGTATGGAGAGATATTTAAAGTGTTAGAAACACCCGTAGAAGGGATTTGAAGCGCAAGGTCTTAGTTACTCCAGTATGGAACAAATAAAACTCATGAGACTGGAAAAATTGGAAGGAAAAGTCCACAGTATTGAGTGGAGTAAGGTAGGAGAATTTAAAAGGGAGTAATGACCGGTGTCAAAGTAGTGGAGGATGCTCTGATTGAGTTTCTTTTACTTTTTGCGAATTCGCGATAGTCATCATGACTGGATCAAAGGTTTTTATAGAACCTTTTTCTTCAAACACTAGTTGCATTTTTTTTGCTGAAATAGGCATATCATCGGCCTTCTATTTGTTAAAATGGCTTTGTTTGTCAGTTATTTTCAAGCCTGACTCGCTTGTTTGTTGATTAGTTACCCCGGCATTTATGTGAGTTCTGCACCTTGAATTTTTAAAGTAAAGGTTAATGTTAGTTTAGTTTGGAGAGGAATGCCAAGGAACTTAGAAACTTCTGGTTCAGAAATGTTTAAGTAGTTGCTCTCTATCGTTTGGTACCCAGGCGACTAGCTACTGATACATCTGCTTGTTCATTTATTGTCACTGTGTTTACGATTGGTACTTAACTTTTGTAAAATATGAAACAGTCCTCTTTCAGGTTCATTTCCATAGGCAGATACCGGGGCTGGCAATAACGACTGCTCTGACTGACTTCAATGTTTTCAGAACGATAAATGTTTAGTTGGAGCGCGGTTTTATTTGCTGACGTTGCTGTATGCAATTGCTAATGGCAAGAAACTCATAATTTCTCGTCTTCTCTTCCTGGAGCCTGTAAAGGCTGAGGTGGCAAATTTTACAGCACTGTTAGGGGGAGAGAATTACGACGGCAATCCAGTGAAGTACACAAAGTCTTTGCATTAATAGCCTGAGCTTTATAGCACTACGGTGATTACGCGAAAACTTTTGTTACTGTTTTGCGCAAAAGCGCTATAATCTTTAGCCTAACATTAATTCTGGTAAATAGTTGGACAGATTAAACTGACGGCTAAACTACACAGTTACTACGAAGAAAGGTGGCTTAAAAAAACTCCATATTTGACAACCAACTGGTAAATAGCGGTTCTTATCACTCAGGCCACTTTCCTTTTTAATGGGATTAAGAAATCAACATTCTTTGAGGAGGGTGAGATCCTTATCTACTTCTGATAATTCAATGTTTAATCTGATGTACTAAATACAAAGTATTATGAAATTAAGTGTGTTAAGGTTGATTTCCTAGCACTATAAAAAGTAATGATGGCAAAAAGTTTTAGGACTGCTGAGTGATTATATTTTATACTAAAGAAGAGAAAATGAAGGGGCACCTAAAAGCGTCCAAAATGTAACTGAAACATTTGTATCCTAAGTGTTACTGACTGTTTCAGTTATAGTTCGTCGGTGCTTTCACTTGCGAGCTTTCTAAATTTAGAACGTTTTTTTACAATAAAAATTCAGTCAGCCAACTTTGAGGGTAAACAAAGTCTGCCCCCACTGCGGGTAGCTAAGTTTAGAGAAGCGAATAATCTAATGCAAGTAAACTAAACAGACAGTGAAAGTTTTTCAGTTTAAAGTCAGATTGGGCAAGCACACGTCAGAATAAGTATGATGTCACCGCACGGCGTTGCTAATTTCTGAAAGTATCCTTTTGTCCCGTCTAGTAGAAAATACAGCAATATATAAAAAGTGATGGCCAGCGCAAAACAGCATTATTGACCAGAAGGCAATGCGTGTTTTTCACGCAAGTACAGTGAGCAACTGCCCGAATAATTGCACGTGACGTTCTTTCCGTTTAGATGAGCGACTGATAGTTATGCTACAGGAATAAGTTACACATTTCCGCACTACCATTTCATAGTCTGTAAGCTTACGTCTTTGTCAACAGCGTGAAACTCAGTGAAGAGCCAGTCCTTCCAATGAACATTCAGCTCCATCCATTCACTTGTTAGCTTTTCAATAGCGTTCTCCAGTTCAGGAATATTTTGAAGACTATCGTATTCTTTTATCACAGCTTCCAAAACGGATGACCTAGCTTCGACAGTCTGAGCTCTTATTTGACCGCCACCGTTTACGCAACCAGATGGGCATGCCATAACTTCAACGAAATTGTACGTGCATTTCCCACGCTTCAGTTTTTGAACTAGGTTCTGAATATTGCGAAAACCGTAGCATTTCGCCGCCGTGATCAGAACTTTGTCATTTTTAACGACCTCGAAGACTTCTAAGTCCTTTCTGCAAATAGCCACTAGTCCTTATTACTTCCGTATGTTAATTGTCAAAAGAATGATTAGTAGGAACCAGATTCCATCAAGAATCTATGAGCTGTTTCCAAAGCTCCCTCAAACTCGGAGTGAATGAGGGATTTCAGAAGTACTCTCATTATTGTTTCATTTTTCAAAACTAAAAGGAAACTACCTAGAAGGTATTACTGCCGCTCAAGGTTTTAAAACGTTACATTGGTTGAGAAATCTGTTCTTGGTTGGTTACTGGCTCGAATCATGTCACAAATGAAAGATAAAAGAACAAAAGAACTATTTCTTTTTGCTTCTAGAAACTCAATTAGCAAACAGTATTAAAGTCTACGTATGTCAGAAGAGAACTAACTTGCCAGAAACTCGTAAACTTTCAGAGTCCAAAAGGTTCTCTCTTAAAAACCGATGAACCACATAAAAGGCGTATCCACCAGAATGCTCACTAGGCATGCCAATTACCATGCCCTTTTGTAATGAATTTAACCAGTTGATGGGGACTTTTTCGACAGTTTCTTCTGAATAGCTTATATCCTCCCCTTCTTCCAACAACGAACTTATTTCAGCTTAAAAGTTAAGATTCAACCTGATAAACATTTTAGACTGCCCAGATGATTGTAATATGAAACCTACCGGTGCTAACAACGCAATCTACTTGATGAAATCCGATGTTAAATTCATTCCTGGAAGCTTCCAGCTTTTTATCAAAACAAGGCATCACAGTCGCATGAAAAATTTTGGCTGGAGGCATACTGTGCTTCCTGAAAAAGAATGAAGGCAAGATAGAAAACTTCTGAATAGGTTTGAAGCAGAGATCTTGTATTAAAGTAATTAAGGGAATAAACAACTGAAAAAGTCAGATTTTAAACTCAAGTGAAGGATAAGTGGGCTTCAGTCCAATCTGCTGTCTGCTGGACAATTCCTAGCTAATCAACACAGAAAAAGAAAAATGTTAATCACCTTGCTAGAAAATCTTTCACCAGGGAACCCATAATGGCTTGCGGTGAACGCACGCGACTCAAATAAGGTAACAAAAGTTCTGGATGAACTTTTTCTGCATAACATACTGGAAAGTTCAATACAGTCAGATGGAAAATTTTGCTGTGAAAAGGCCAAACGATGCAGAAAACAACTTAGAAGGAAAAAAATGAACTATTTTCAAATCTCATATTATTCTTAAAAAATCAAACTCCGTCTAAAGCCATCAAAGGAGAATACTGACCAAAGCCAGGGCAGACTGACGTTATTAATATATCAGCACAGTTCTTTTTCTTGAATTCTTCATATATGTAAGACAGCGACAGATAACGGGCATAACTCGAGTCAACAATATATGTTGCGCCAAGTTTCATTAATTTCCTAGCTAGAATCACTGCAGTCTGAGATACTTGAAGCCCATATTTTACAGCAATTGAGCAGAGTGATTGAGGAGATATAGTCACTACACTAACATCATTGGAAGAAAGCCCTTCTAGGAACTTCGGTAATGACTGTTCCTGATGATTTAGTTACATAAACAGCTGCAGTGTTAAACAACATACTCTAAAATGTACTAGTCAAAGTTTATGGAATGCATAATTAATACCTGGATTAAAATAGATTCTGCACTCGTTACACATCCATTACAAGCCAAACAATCGTTTAGCGAAACTGTCACTCTTTTCTTAAGATCCTGACTTCCCAATACCGCATCCTTTCTGTGCAATATAACTTGCGAGGGATTCTTTTCCTCTGATGCCTCATTTCTTAGTGGTAGGATACACGCCTGAAGTGCAAGAACTAATTCTAGACCAATTAAAATAAGTTTAATGCGGCAAACGGGAGAAAATGTACCTGTGATGGGGCGATATAATCACTAGCATTAGTGATTCTTACAATGCCACTAAAACTTCTCGACATAGACACCTATATGAGTCTGAACCGTAGAAGCAATAGTGACTTCAAATAAAATTTTTTCAAAGAATACATCAAACAATAATAAGTAAAACCTTTGATACAAAAAAATTACAAGTAAACACTTGACACGAAGTGTAAATTCGAATAACACTGATGTAGTTACTAAAACGTCGAGTTACAAACTTTTATGTATTTCCTTAGAAGTAGCAGTGACAGTACATAACAACCAGAATTCACTCTAAAGGTCAGGTGGAGTGACTTGGTATTGACAATAAAATAAAAAACTAACTAAAACTAATTAGACGACAGAGAGATGCACAAATCAGAATGCTTAAATGTAAGGCAAAACAAAATTTTATTCTAAAATAAATACACCACTTAACATAAAATCTTGCACACCTTGAAAATAGTGACGTAAAAGGCTTAAGATACTTAAAAAAAAATAACCAGTGCTTTGCAATGATACCAACCAAAAACCACAATTAGCTTAGCTCCACGATAAGAGCCTCAGACATATGACCGTTGGGAGACAAACCAAAAAACGATTCAGAATGCAACATTATAACTTCAGCGTCAATCACCTGCAGAAAATATCCTGCGCAGCTTTATCCAAAAACCTAAACGATTATAAGAAAAATTAACTTATACGGGCGAAAGTGCACAAGTCAAAATACACTACTGAATGTCAGAGGGGTCTGGTTACTCAGACGAAGTCAAGCCAATCTGTATCTCAATATTAAAAAAAACATGAACCAAAGAGTCAAGCAGAGAATCACCGTTCAAAATTTGCTTCAAATATTTAGTTCAGATAAAAATCTACTGGCTTACTTCAGCCTAAGAGAATGAAATTACTAACGGTGTAACCCAAAAGAACGAAACGGTTGTGTTAAAGCTCATCAAAGTTACGAAAGACACAAACTTGGATTTGACTGGTTCACCATAAACGTAAAATGGGTTTGAAACAGCATCACAATAAGCCGCGTGAAGTTTTTTAAACATCTAAAACAACTGTTTAAAAAAAAAAAAACACCTGCTTTAGAATCCAATCAAGAAGTAACATAACGTACCGCTCGTATATCCTGATCAGTGAGGGAAACGTTTCTAATATCGGTTACCATTAGCATTTTAACATTTGTGTTCGACACATAACCATATGACTGAAAATTACGCTGGTGGCACTTTTTCTTCTTATCATAAGATGAAGACTTCTAAATGTTCTACTTCGAAAGTAATTAAAAGTTTGGTGACGAGCGTAAGTAAAGAAGAATACAAGACGTACACTAATCTAACAAAAAAAATTAAAAGGCAAATGCAAATCCTAGCAAACTATGAAAATTACTAACTTTATACTTCTGGTCGGCGAAAAGAGAACCAAGAAAAAGCTCCTGCGCTTTATTAATACCTTCCAGCCGCTCTTCAACTATATCCAAAGAACAATACACAAACATATTCAGTTCGAACTCTCTAGCCTGCTCTTTAGTGCTGACGCTCATAAACAGTGGGGTATTCTGCAATAAAGACACAAAAAGAAATGATTCAGAGCGACACAGCAAAAAATCTGTTCTTTAAACATAATTGTTTTGGGCGATCAAGAACACATTCATTCGACCAGTATACTTTTATATTCAACTTACATTACTGCCAATCAATGCAACACAAAGAGCCATCTTGTAACTGCTGCTGGCTGGAAACTCAACCGCTAATTTACCATCCGAAAAAGTCTAAACAAAAGTTACTGCAATAAGAAAAATTAATTAATCTGTCATGTCCCTTTAATTTGACAAACTTGAATCTTGCTTTGAAGAACCTTTTCGATACAGTAAGGAAATCAGAGAAGTTTTTAGTTAATGGGTGCTCAAACAGCTTATCATTCGTGAAAAATTTCATTACTGGCATGGTCCAAAAAGCAGTCACCTCTCTGGAACATAATACTGAGAAACCGTGTAAATACTAAATTTACTCCTTTTAAAGAAGTTCCACAGTAGCCAAATCTTAAAAACACTGACTTCAAATTAACAAATAAGCTTACCTTTAAATTTGAGAAATCTATTTAAATCACAATTTATTTTTTAAAAAACCTAAGTGTTTTATGAGTTTGGTGAAGGCAGCGATTTCAAATATAGCAACTTTATATGAAGTCATAACAAGCGAAGACTTCTAGGTAAAAGCACGCGACGCTCAATCCACGATTAAACCTGGTCAGTGGTTTCTAAGTTATCTAGCTAGAAAATCATAACTGTTTGACTACTGAACACTATGAAGACGGCCAAAAAAGCACTTATTTCGGTCTACTGGCTTCATTTTGGTGGGGGCTACAGGCAACTTTTTGAAACCAGTCGCT